AATCTCAGTATGAAACCTTTAACACATTGAGTATGCATGTTGTATGGAGTGAGGATGTTATAGGGCATTACTTTTACATTATATAATTAGAAATTGTTTACTTGCACTAAATGAAGTGTTGGTGAAGGCTCCATCTGCATGCTGAAAATTTTTAAACTGACATTAATATGTTGGGCATCTCAAATAATTATGGAATTGAATTGATTGTCATTTCATGAAAACTGGAACAAAAATGAAATGACGTTGATTACTAGTCTCTTTTAACTTCCTCCATGGTTTGGATGTTGGATAAAGGGTAGATGAAAGCTTTGGCCTAAGTATTTACTTACCTGTTCCAGAAGAGCATGGTTTGACTGCTGGGATCTCAATCGGCCTTCATCACCGGAAAATGTGTATATATATATATTAAGTGTTTTATGGCATGATATGATTGCCTCTCTTTGACTCAGTGGCGCCGTCCACCACTTCGACTGATGCAGACGCGGTTTACGAGCAGAATTTGATTATTTGATTTTATGTTTAAGAATTAACAGATTAATAAGTCTCAGAGTTGCTGATATTTGTTTATCAGGATACTTATTGCTAATAGCTTGTTTTGCTGTGTTTAGAAACACCTTTTCTGGCAGCATTACATTTTTCATGTTGCCAAAACATATTCAGTATCTTCTTTCTGAACCTGAATTAAAACTTTCAATTAGCCTGTTTCTGGGCCAATGGGGATATGTTGTGCAATAGACAGGAAAGGGATTGAAATTTGCTGAGTTAATCTTTAGTTAGCTGAAAAATCCTTGTTCGTGTGTTTTCCATAGATTTACTGATAAATGCGTGAAAAAGGTTCATTGGCAAGAAACATTTTGAGTTAACTAATAGCTCGTGTGTTGTGTGTAATGGATTGTATGAACATGGCTTAAGGGCGGCAATAGTTGTGCAATATTTTAAGATGATGAAGGAAGAAATGGATCTTGAAAATAAGGATGTATATGTTAAATCAATCAAAATTTTCTTCATATTGTTTTTAGTAAGAAAAAATGTGATGGTAATATTAACTAGTCTTTTTTGTCAAAAAGAGAAGGTGATATCAAGAATTGTTCTTTATCAAATAATCCAAAAAATTGCAAATTTAATGTCAAATAAGAGAAGGTGATATCAAGAACTCTTCTTTATCGAGTAGTAAATTTTTATGTGCAAATTTAATGCTAGACTTCTTTGTCAAATAAGTATAAGGTAATATCAAGAACTCTTCTTTATCAAACTAGTTGTAGTCAACATGCGTTGAACGTTATTCTCTGTTTTCGAAATTTTGTAGAAATATTGTTTTTAGGTGTTGAGTCAACAATCAATACTAATAGATGGCTGTATTGTTTATATAAATTGTTGATGAAAATGAACATTTTATTATATAAAAGCATCTTTATATATACAACGTTTTTATCAAATAAAGAGTATCTAATTTCGAAAAGGAATTATCGTGGCTCAATACTCATATTTCTAAATCATCATGGATATTTGCATATTGTAGGGTTCAAGAAACAGTAAGATAGATTGATGGCAAAATTTTCTCCCAGAGCGGAGAAAGATGAACAGTCAAATCACACGGCATTGTTAATATACTTTTGCCTGGTATGTTATTTGTTCTGTATTTTGATCACTCGAAGTATAATATATTAATATCATCCTTTGAGTTGTCCTTTCTTTCTATATTCATAGCTGAGATTCCTTTTCTATGATCAATTTCTGGTTCAATTTAGTTGAATTTCTGATTTCTATGTGCAGTTTTGCCAGCCCTTGTTGAAAGGATGGAAATGGAATGATAAATATAAGGAATGGTTTGCTTCTGACAATAGAAACTTTATTTTCCTTTTTTCCTATTAAAGGGAAGAAAAGTTTCAAGGCACTTTTGGCATGTTGAACTTGATAGGATTAGACACGCACAAGTACGAGTCATGCGTCATGAAATCTATCAGCTTTTTGATAAAGTTTTGATTTTTAGTACATTGAACTCGATAGGGCTAGATGTAATCTAGAAGTTGAGAGATGCCATGAAGTATGTTAATTAACTTGATCAAAGTTTAAATATTTTGGTCATTGAACTCGATATGGCTGGACATGATTCAGAATGAGAGTTATTTAATAAAATGTGTTAATTGACCTATTCAGATTTATTTTTTTGCACATTGAACCCCATATTGCTGAACATGATTAATAATGAGAGAGATGCAATAAAATTTGTTAATTATCTTGTCAAGTTTTGATTTCTGTCACATTGAACTCAATACGGCTTGACATGGTTAAGAATGAGAGAGATTTGATTTATATTTGTATGGCTTCTGTTTTTGCAGAATCAACACTACAACATCATAGAACTGATGCGAAAGGCTGGACATGGTGAATGAGAGAGATTTGATTTATATTTGTGTGGCTTCTGTTTTTGCAGAATCAACCCCTACAACATCTTAGCGCTGATGCAAAAGGAAGAAATAGGACGGGCATGCGAGTCGTTCAAACTCTCAAGTCTGGTTTCCCAGGGATGCAAGGGCCAAAACCTGCATTTAGCAGGGATCACGACCGGTAAAATAATCTCTAGATATAAATTTACCTAACTGTTACTCGTAAAGTTATTCTTCTGTTTGAGCTTTTATTTCCTGCTCTGAACATGCAGGATTACTTTGAAGTCATTATATCTACGATGAAGATGATTTTCCACCAACGCTTTATTACAGTCACCGGAAGAAGAAATGTATACACGTTCCTTATTAATAAAACATGACAGAGAAATTAATTTATTTTTCAAAGCATGAGGTGGTTCGTAGGTTTGTCTGTAACTCGTTCCGAAATAAAAGTAGAAGTTCAAGTTGAGCTGTCTTTATAGAGATGATGGAAATCAGCTTCTTGATCCAGGGTTTGTTTTCGCCATCACAAAATATAGTATAATCACAAAAAGGCATGGTGTTGAAGATGTCGAATGCAGTTTGTATAGATAAGTGCTCTCACTATATATATATATATAGTGTTGAAGATGTCGAATGCAGTTTGTATAGATAAGTGCTCTCACTATATATATATATATATATATATATATTTTTTTTTTAATAAAGTATGAAAGTATTTTGTAATAATTGAATTAGTAGTGACAAAGTGAACATGAAGAAAAATAATCGCGGTATAAATCATTAGGTATATGTTTGAGAAAATCTTAAACTGTGTCGAATGGTTTGATTTAGGTTTGAGGTTTTTTCAAACCATTTAAAATGATTTGGTTTGAAAGTTCAGTCAAATCGAATTACTTACTCCTTTTATTATACAATAGGACAATAGACTACTCCAAATTTCTATAAATGTGATCATAGAGTTGAAGGATTCTTTCTCTTTGACCAGGTGAAGAAGAAGGTCCAGAATCCTTAACAAAATTGAGATGTGAACTAAGTAAGTCAAGGAAAAAGAATAAACCACGTAAACAGTTGGAAGAAGCAAGCTATGAAGCCAACTAATAAAGCAGCTAAGCATCATTGATTTGTTAAATCTTTGCTTGACCAACTTTCAACCTTCGTGAGGATTTGGTGTGAACTATTCGACAGATTCTCACTTTGTTGTAACTCGTCTCACCTCTTGAACGAAAACAAGATACCTTTTATTAGGAACCAATATTTCTAGTTTTCCATATATTTTATGCACCAATTTCTTGCTTAGTCTCAGTCATATACATTATTTTTAATTCAAGACAGGTTAATGGGAGGTTGAAGGTCTGAACTCAAAATCATACTACTCCCTCGAACTATTTTCAATGGCTGTGGGTCAGCTCAACCCGTAATCCTGCATTTTTTTATATCTATCTATTATCTTCAGTGCATTTCATGGACCGCAATTTTAATGGCATTTAAATAAAAAATGCTTTTGGTTTACATTATATTAACATATAATAATTTGACCCCAATGGGCGACCTCAACGTGGAGGTCGATCCGCATACTGGCTCTGTGGAAAGACTTAGAGCCACCTGGTTCGAACTTATCTCTAATGAATTTAGTCAATAATTCAAAATCATCTCTAACATATATTTAATGGAAGAGAGAAAATTTAATAATTATGAGACAAAATGAGAAACATGGGAGAGAGAAATGTTAAATGATAGTGACTCATTTCATCTTGAAGAAAGTTTTACACCTAGACAATTCTCTTAACAATGTCTACTTTTTTCTTACCCCGTCTAATAAGCATAGTCTGAGACATGTATTGAAGATGAACTTTTGTAGTTATTGCCAATTTAGCTTATGTTGCAAGAGTATCTCCAATGCATTCTACGGTTGCTGTCTATGTGACGTGGAAATTGAAAGATTTTTGGTTTATGTGGTATTAATGTTAATTTAACAATCAAGTCTAAAATTCATCTCCAATGCATTCTATGGATTTCTACCTTAATTATTAAAAAAAATAAAAAAGATAGAAAAAAAAACCAGAGTTGACTTGAGCAATTTGGGACCATAAGAAAAATGACAAAAGGATGTTTTGAGAACAATAATGTAAAAAGATGCATTTTCAAGAATGTCCAATTTTAGGGATGTGAGTTGAAAAGTGTCCTATTTTGATAATCCTTGCAAAAATGTTCAATTTCTATATCGAATTATCTACTTTATCCTCATGAAAAGATTAATCAATTTTATATCAATTTGGTACAATTTTTTAGAAGAGGAAATAGCTTCTATGAGAAGCCATAATAATGTTGCTATTACCTAGGTGAGTCCACTTGCCTACGTTTTTAATTAGATTTTAATCAATTATTCTAGAACAAATGAAGAAGAAGCGGAAATTTCATTAACACATATAAAGAAGTATCTGATTCCAACTTCAAAGAAATCATTTTATTCATGTGAAGAAATTTACTGTCGTTGAAACTTGAAGCTGATTAGACTCTCATCATTTCTCGGTCGAAGGTATATTTCTTTGAACTCCCATTTTTTTTTTTGATAAATTGTATTTAGTAGTTGTTATTATATATGTTCAAATCTCAATTTTTTGATAAGGTATTTTTCCTCTTCAATGGACGAAATTATCCAAACACTAAGTATATATTTTTTGTACCATTCATTTTTAATAACTTAGTTAGATAATATACTTCTGCATTTAGAATATCATTTATGGTGGAATAAATTCTTGCAAAAATGGTGGTTGAAGTTGAAGAAGATAATAAATGCATGGAATCCCGTCATTTCACTATCGACATTTTATAAATGTCAATAATGATAGTATAAATATCATTCACGACATTTATAAACTTCGAGAATGATATTTATACTATCATTCTCGACATTGTCAAATGTTGACAATAACATTAAAAATTTGACTAAATTGGAAAAATTTCGTGTATAGCGTTTCACATATTGCATGCAAGTAGCATTTTCGTTTTCGATTTTCGTTAGTGACTGACAGTATTGTTGTTTATGACATGCAGCTATGAGAGATGTTAAGAGATTTGTTGTCTCATATCGTGGTAGATTCGTCAACATGGACGACGGGTGGAAGTGGTTAGGGAACCGAACAACATCAATTATTGTTCGACATGATATTACATATGAAAAACTTGTACATAAATTATTCGAGAAGCTGAATGTTGACAAAATGAAGTTTCGAATTCAATTGAAATTTACAGTTCCGAACATGAATATAGCCCCTGCTGATGTAGCCGACGATGAGGATTTGTAATGGTTTATGTCTGTTCACACAGAAGCGACGTTGTGTGTAATTGCAGATGAATATAATGCTGGAGAGCACGAACTGCATGTCGGAGTTGAGTCTTTGTCACCAATAGAAGATGCATTGTGTGGACACGATGAAGTTGGTTTGTGCGAACTATAAGAGCCACAAACGATTGATAATGCGGATGAAGGCTTAGGTGAAGGGAATTTTTTTATTCGAAATGCAATTGAGTTGATTGATGAAGAGGACATTGTGGAAAATCAGATATTCTTTAGCAAGCAACAATTACACACAAGGCTTCAATTTAAGGCTTTGAAAGAGAAGTTTCATTTCAAAGTTAAAAAGTCGAATCCTAGATCTCTTACTGTGTGTTGTGTCGATACTATATGTCATTGGCTAGTGCGAGATTCTAAGATAAAAACTTCAGAAATATTTAAGATTCGAGAGTACATACCTGAGCACA